CAGCCTGGAAAACAGTGAGACACTATCTAAAAAAAAAAAAGGAGATTTGCAAGTACAACTGTGCTACTCTTTTTTTTTGTTTTATAACATATTTGTCATAAAACGTGATATTTTATTGATATTTAGAGGATTTATTGTTTTAGTAAAATATTAAAAATTTATCTTAATTTTAATTTCTTATACAATAAATATCAATGATAAAACCCATTAAAAAATTAAGACTTCAGTAATTGTTAAGCATATAAAGGAGTTTTAACACTAAAGTTTGAGAATCACAGGTTTAGACCATAGGAAGGAGATCTGGTGGTGGGGTAGAACATTTAGAAGCATGAGAAAGGTTTTAGATAACCATTGATAATTTGTTTTTCACGTAACTGCACAGCATTAAAAGACATAAACTCTATTAGAGAGTTCCCACTGGTTGAGTTTCAGTTAAATGTGTTTTTAATCAGTTTAGTCAAGGAAGTAGGATTGTGATTGACCTGAATTTGAATTATGACTGGGTGACCACAGGAATATCACCAAAATTCCTTGCCTCAATTTTTGCATCTGTAACATGCATCTACATTAGAAGGGTTACTGTGAGGATAAAACTCATGTAAATTTTGCCCCAGTGTGTTTTGTGGACTAACCAGGTTAATAATGCGGACACCCAGAGCTTTGCATCATGATCTGCACTTCAGTGAGACCTCCAAGCGGTCTTTATGCACAGAGTAGTGCTGGTTGTGAGGCACCCTGAAGACTGCCTGCCTGTCACATGGTAGTTACTCAATAAAAATCTCCTTTCTTTTCCTTTTTTTTTCATATTTATTTTCTATTCTTTGGCTTATGGATATTACTATTTCAGTCTTTTTGGACTAAAATTTAAAATATATCTGATCTGTTAACTTCGTCTCTTTTTCTTATCAGTCAAAGTAATCCTTCCATTCATTTGAAAAGTTTAAAACTTCCAGACCTGCAGTCTAGATTCTGGAGTGTCTCTTTTCCTTTTTCATTAAAAAAAAAATTTTTTTTTAAAGCAGTCATACTAACAATGAGCCCCATATTGGCGTGTGTGGAGATTGACTGCCTGTGTAACTAGATCTGTCCCTCCTTTCATAATAATTTATTTATTCACACAACACATATCAAATAATCAATATGTGTACAGGACTGTGAATGACATTAGGGGAACAGTGTGTGCAATGAACATACTTCTCACCCTTGTGATGAAAGAGACACTAAAGGAATAAACCAAAACACAGTGTTTGTAATTCTCAAGAACACTTTGTGAATATATAAGTAATACATGCTTTTTAAAAAAAATCTCAAATATTGGCCGGGTGCAGTGGCTGACACCTGTAATCTCAGAACTTTGGGAGGCAGATCACCTGAGGTCAGGAGTTCGAGGCCTGCCTGGCCAATGTGGTGAAACCCCGTTTATACCAAAAATATAAAAATTAGCTAGGCACAGTGGCATAGGCCTGTAGTCCCAGCTACTTGGGAGGCCAAGGCAGAAGAATCACTTGAACCTGAGAGGCAGAGGTTGCAGTGAGCTGAGATCGTGCCGCTGTACTCCAGCCTGGGCAACAAAGTGAGACTCCACCTAAAAAAAAGAAAAAAAGTCTCAAGTATTTTTTTCCTTTTCTACATTTCATTGATTTTAAAAAGCACTTTATGTATATCTTTAATGCTTTGACTTCTACATTATGTTGTATTATTGCTTATCTCACATTTTTCACTTGCCTGCCGTAACTTTGATGGTTGCTAGATTTTTAATTTTTCTTGCATGTGAGTTATTTTTTCCAATTAATTTTTTTTTTAATTTAGCATTGTGGTAAAAAAAATGCACATAATATAAAACATACTACCTTAATCGATTTTAAGTGTTCAATTGAGTAGTGCTAACTATATTCACATTGCTGGGCAACAGATCTCTAGAACTTTTCATCTTGTAAGACTATATTGAAGTCTTAAAAGTCGGTAGTCAAATTCAGAGAAACAAGGGGAAATAGAAAGTTGTTTATTGTTCAATGTAACTCTATATTCATTGAACAACAAACAACTTTCTACTTCCCCCTGTTTCTCTGAGTTTGACTACCTACTTTAGATACCTCAGACAAGTGGAATCACACAGCAATTTTTTTTTTATTTATTTATTTATTTATTTTTTTTTTTTTGAGACAAAGTCTCGCTCTGTCACCCAGGCTGGAATGCAATGGTGGGAGCTCGGCTCACTGCAACCTCCGTTTCCTGGGTTCAAGCAGTTCTTCTGCCTCAGCCTCCTGAGGAGCTGGGATTACAGGTGCATGCCATCACGCTCGGCTAATTTTGTAATTTTAGTAGAGATGGGGTTTTACCTTGTTGGTCAGGCTGGTCCCGAACTCCTGATCTTGTGATCCGCCTGCCTTGGCCTCCCAAAGTGTTGGGAATACAGATGTGAGCCATCGTGCCTGGCCATATTTGTCTTTTTTTTAAACTGGTTTATTTCACTTCATGTAATGTCTTCAGGGTTCACTCACATTGTAGCATGTGACAGGATGTCTTTTTTAAAGCTGAATATGCCATTGTATGTATATATCACATTTTATTTATCCATTCATCCATCCATTCATGGACCTTTGGGTTGCTTCCACCTCCTGGCTGTTGTGACTAATACTGTAATGAATATGGTTATGCCTTGAGAGTACTTTGACTCCAGACGTAGACACTAATCTACACCCAGGCCTGAATGTGATTCTTGACCATGAGAAAGATTTTTTGAGCTAGCCTAAAGGGAAAGGCAGATCGGGTCAGGCTTCTGGTCAGACTCCCATGTTGGATATCCAGGCAACAGCAGAGAGATAGAAAATAGCCTGAATCCTTCAGAGTCCCTGACTGAAAGGAAAGCACTAATGGGTTGAATGCTGACCATGCTGAATACTTTTGTGTCTGTTGATGGGGAAATTTGGGAGGTTTTCTGAATTATTATTATGAAACTAAGGACTATTATTTTTTTCACCTTCCCAACATCATGTATAACAATAATGAAAAATGATCACCAACATCAGGAGGGGATCTAGCATAGAGCCTGTTTGTATTATTTGAAAAGAATGTCAATATAAAATTGAATATATTCAAATTTCAAATATAATACAAGCTACCATGAGTTTGGGTTAGGATTGCAAAGAAACATGGGTATGTGTGGCTGAGAGGGCAGAGACCAAACTCTTAAAGGGCACAAAAGCCCCCGCCAGGATCTAACCTGATGTTCTTTACTCCCTAGCTTGCTGGTTAAAGAAATAATTTCTGCTGAAAGCTAGTTTTTAAAGAACTTTGTTTCATACACAGACCCCAGAGTCCATATCTGGGCTCCCACGTAAGACCTGTAGATGACATTGCTGATGAAATCAGGTCATACACAGAAGGAATGACTCAAGACCAATTTTACAGCTTCCCTGAGGACCATGAAAAATGCCTTCAAGGAAGAAAAAAAAATCCATTACCAACTTGAGCTACTCAGACAGACTTGCATCAAGGATTTCTCTTAGCCCATCATTTCAGTCCTTAGAGAAGGGGTGGTGGCTATTGCAGATTCAATTTTTTTGTATCACTCTGGAGCTACTTTACTTGTAACATAGCAAATATGGTTACTGTAAGGTACATGAAAGCAGAAGAGGCACTAGCCTGAGAGTCAGATGGTTTCTAGTTCCAGTGTGGCTACTTACTAGCTCGGTGGCTTTGGATAAAAGCCTGCTCCTCTTGACCCTCAGCTTACCTCCTATAAAAGCCAGCCCTTGGGCTAGAACTGCTCCATTCCTTTCAGGTCTGCCATTCTGTGCATAAATGACATCAGGATTGATTGCATCCATTCTACTTTTTATTTGGCATTTGTTCATTTAATACATATATACATATATAAAAATCTGTACATGGTAAAAATACAAAATAAGTATTTCTTTATAAGTTATGCAATTAAACAGCTACCTTTTTAAAGTTTAAAAGCCATTGCAAGAAAAAAGGGCGGGAAAGAAATCTAGTCAGTGCTTTATGGTCATTCACAATAACCTTGGTATAAAATATCCATACAACACATGTGTACAAAATAGTGTACAGTTCATAAAAGCTGTGCAAAGACAGCAAATTTCGGTTAAAAAAAATCGAAGAGGCTGTGTAGGTCTCTCTGTCCACATCATGCCCAGTGCCGGGGAGGTTTGCAGCTCAGCAACACCTCCCTAGGAATAATAAAAGGGAACAAGGTACAGTGCGTGGTACATATAGCATGGATACAGAAATTAACAAGAAAAGGCTTTAAAACACACATACAGGAATAGAGATGGCTTCTTCTCCCCCTTTAGAGAATCCACTTCTTTCCCCAGAGAGCTTTTGGCAGGTGACAGAGAGGACTCAACATGCATGTTGTGCCTTGGGCCAGAAGGCATTGATTTATATATATATATATATATGTGTGTGTGTGTGTGTGTGTGTGTGTGTGTGTGTGTGTGTGTGTGTTTTAGAAATTTTTGAACTTTCTAAGAAAATGTCTATGGGAAGACAGGAGATGGTTGGAGGGGATGGGGGTGGGGATGACAGACTGGAGTGGAATAGGAGGTCCTTGCTTCCTGTTAGGTGAGGTGGAGGGATCTAGAGAGGCCAGGGTACTGGAGTTAGTTACATGATTTGGTGTTTTCACTCCTAACTCGGTTTCCTCCCTCCATAAATAGATTTCCTACCATATAGAGTGGCTGCTGCTAACGACCAGCAGGGCTTGGCTCACAGGTCCAGGCTGCAGGACTGAAGCACACCCCGTTGTGTTTAAAATAGTTCACAATAAACAAAATAAAAGGGAGCTTTTGCTGAAAAAAGGTTGGGACCAAGACTTAAAGTTAACTTATGTGGGGAGGACTATTTGGAGATGGTGTCGGGGAAGGAAATGTCTCTTTGGGGCTGCGACAGGGCCTGCGGCGCCCTCAGCGAGGTGATGGTGCTACCGTGGGGAGAGGTAGCATCTGGGCGCTGGGACAAAGTGAACGCGCAGACTGGACCCCACCTCTTCAATTTCAAAGCACTTAGAAACAGTACTCGGGCGTGCCAGCGGCTTCTAGGACACGGTGATTTCCTCTTCCTCCTCGCCCTCTTCCTCCTCCTCAGAGTCTGAGAAGTCCGAGGGTTTCCCGGGGCTGCTCGAGTGCGCGGGCGAGAGGGGCAGCGGCCCTGGTAGCCGAGGGTCCCGCAGGTGCGGGGGGTCGGGCGACGCGTGGTAGGCCAAGCGGTGGCGGCGGCTGCCCGGGCCCTCCTCCTCCTCTTCCTCCTCTTCGTCCCCGGGGCCCTTCTGGCCCACGTCGCTGAGGTCCGGGTGCGGATTGAGCTTGGTGGGCAGGGTCTGCTCGCGGCAGCCCCCGCTAGACAGGAGTTCGCGCTCCTTGGAGTTCCGCCATTTCATGCGTCGGTTCTGGAACCAGATTTTCACCTGGGATGTCCCCGCCCGCGACAGGAAGGGAGAAGCAAAGGTCAGATCAGGGGACCCAAGGAGGCGGGGAGTGGAGTGGGGAGCAGGTTCTGTACTTTGGGCTGTGCCCGCTCCCTGCCCCTAGAAATGAGTCTAGGTGGATTCCAGCATTGACTCCTCCCCCGCCTCAGCTCGCGGTTCCTTTTGATTCATCTACTGCCACCCAGCTGCAAAGGGCGGGGCTGGGGGCCGCTGAGCCCGGGAGGGAGGGCTGGGAGTTGGGGTGGGGAGAGAAGAGGGCTGCCCCGCGGAGCCTCGAGGGTGGTGGCCCATGTACCGACTCCCTCTCTAGGCCTCGATTTTCCCATCTGTACAGTGGGACCTAAGCGGTTTGCGAACACTTGCAATTGACAGGTGCGCCGGGGACGGGGACAGGGTGAAGCGAGGGGGCGGGGGATGGGTGCTGTGAACGAACTGCCCTCACCTGCGAGTCTTTCAGGCCCAACTTGGCCGCCAACTTCTTGCGGTCGGGCTTGCTGATGTACTTCTGCTTCTGGAACATCTTCTCCAGCGCCTTGCGCTGCACGTCCGAGAAGACTGCTCGACGCAGCATGCCCCGCCGAGGCTTCCCGCGCGCGGCCAGCGGCCAGGAGAAGGTCCCGGGGATGGGCACGACGCTGGAGGACGCTGCAGGGTGGGGGGAGGTGGCGAGTGAGTGGCCGTAACCCCCCATCCCCCCCGCAACGTGGCTCTCCCTGGCGTTTCACTCTGATCCTTCATCTCTTTAAAGTGCTCTTTTTTCTCCCCTTGGAGAATAGGCCACGAACCTACAAACCTGCGAGAGTGAAAGGCGCTTTCCGCCCAAATAGCTTTCCCTTTCAACCATGCAAACCCGGATTAGGTAGAACCACAGAAACATAGAAAACAGCCCCCACAATAGCCTGTGTTGTTTTTCCATTCAGTGGACTCAGGGAAAGAAACTCGCGCACATTAGCTAAAACAGGAATAGAAAAAATAAATTACAAAAATAAAAATAAAATATCCAGCCGAAGACACTGGGTTTCTCCCCTAAGCTTTTATCATTTCGGTGGCTTTTGCAGTCTTTAGATGAAAATGAGGTACTTTACTATTTTGATAAATAGGGAAAAATCCGATTTAGATTTTTTGAAAAATCCAATAAGTATTCATCTTTTTTATATTAATCCTTCTTCCCCTCCCCCATGAAACGTAAAGAATTCGGCCGGAATACATGAAAAGTGGCAGCTAATTAGCACATTGACTGCTTCCCAATGGATATTGGCATGATAAAAGGGGGGAGAGTTTCGCTTTAAGAGAAAGAAAAAAAAAAAAACAAAACAAAAAGAAACAGAGACTCTAATGAAGCGTGAATGGTAATTGTGTAGTAATGAACTAACAGAAAAAGACTGAGGACAAGCAGCGAAAGCCATATATTACTGGGACAAAAGAGATTTACACTTTCAAACTAAACACAACTGCAGGCCAAGACCATTGGGAGAATACTGATGGCAGAGGCTTCTCTTCCCCGAATCGTTTTCATTAAATGGACATGAAAAGCTATTTATAAAGCTCGGGTTGTTTTTGTTAGAGCATTGAGATGAGGGAGAAAGGGAGCAAATTCCATTATTAGCAGCAGTGTGAATGGTGGTGGTGCTGGGGAGGGGCATAGGTGGTGAATTCTCTCTCCCCCTTTAAAAAATCAATGGCTTGTGTCTCTCGCTAATATTTGGGAGTGCTGTCGTGATTTTACCCAACTCCCACAAGCCATGCCCAGTTTCCCTTCTCTTAATAGGGACTCCCCTGCCTCCTTTTGAGTTTTGACCAGTTGCAGAGTTTTTGAGCCATAGTTTGAATCACCAGTGAGGTTATGGGATGAAAACCTGGTGGAAGCTGTTTAAGGTGTTGCTCCTTTAGGCTGGGACACAATTATGGGCTTTCTTCCAACTGCTTCTTATTTTTCAAGATGAACAGTATTTTAAAAGACAGGGTGGGAAAGGGGTATGAGAAGGGATTGGGAAATGAGGTTGGAAATAGGAGATTGGGATTGGGGGTGGATCTAGTCCCCCCTCCCTCTGGGCGACCCTAGGCATCCCACACAAGAGGGCACCCCATGTGGTCTTGTGAAAAGCCCGAAGCCCTGAATGAGTCTTAAAGAGAAATTAGCCCCGGCTGGTAGGTGTCTCTTGGCGGCCTGGAGGAACTAGGGCCGGTCTGTGTGTGGCTGCCCGGAGGAGCTGACCAATTGGTCATGGTGCTGAAACCTTTGTGGGGAATCGTGGCCAAGTGCACTGACTCTGTGGGAAAACGGCGGCGTGAAGGGATGCCAACAGCTCCTCGCCGGGAAGGGAACCGCCTCAAATTGGGACCATGACAATTCCTGCTAATTTGTAGAGCAGGGAATTGGTGCAAAGTGTCAAGCAGTCACTGCTTGTGCTAAATAGGGCATCAAATTGGCGCGACGGATTCGTGAATGTTGTACGCCTCGCAACCTCTGAACCAGAGCATAACCCCGAGGGATGGACGGAGAAATACGGCTTTGGGGCAGGGAGCGATGGGCCGGCAGGGGCTGGAGCGCCTCCCAGCCTTGCCCAAGGAAGCCGTAGAGACCTACCTGGGAAATAAGAAGATCTGATGAAAGGCTGAAAGGACCCTTCGAAGTAGGGAAAGGCGAAGGTCTTGGGAGGGACGCTCTGGAGCAAGGCTGGGGATGTTTCTGGCGGGCGGTGGAGAGGGGGCAGAAACAAGGGAAGGAGACAGAAAGAATCTGATTACGTACTTGCCTATTGAGTGCACGTTGAACACACGATATAAGTAACCCTTCATCTGGTTTCAAATACATCTTTCTTACATATTGACAGGGTAAAATAAATCTTCCTAACATTGTCTTATCTGTAAAACTCTTTCCTTTCCCCACAACGAGATTCTTTGTGGCGTCCCACGCTACCCCAGTCTCCATCCTAGGCACTAACGAGATAGGTAGGACTGAGTGGGGAGCAAAGAAATTGCAGATGTATAATATTAGCTAATCCAATAAATATATCATATGGAGTTTAAAAAAGAAACTGTCTCCCAGAAGCTGCATGGCAGAAATACAGACGTCCAGGGGCGTGCGCTCAGCGTTACCAAGCCAGATGACTGCGCACTGCCTCTGACTGAGTGTGCTCAAGTTCATTCCGAGGATGGGGCTAGCCTGGGGGCTTTTCTTCCCCGGAATTGATTGGACTAGTCTCACATTGCTAGACGTAGGTCCTCAGAGTCTGTGCCTACGTGTGTGCACTGATATGCGTGTGGGTGCCTGCTCGCTAGAGGAAACTGAGGCCAGGAGGACTTGGCGCATGTCTGGCACCTGAACGGACCCTCAGCATCGTGCCCTCACTTACCTGTTCTGGGCCCCGAGGAGAGGATGGCGTTCACTCCAAACTTCAGAAAAGTGGGCTCGCTGGCAGGAGAGACGGCAGTTGGCGGAGAGCCGCCCCGCCGGCTGCCGGGACCCGGGGAGCCCAGGTCTGAGGCCCCCGTGTCGGTGAGGGCTGTGGGGGCCCCCTGCCTGGGCGGCGATATGCTGGCGGTGGGCACGCTGCGGGGCAGGTAGGCGGGGGGCCGGCTGATGCGGATCAGATCCTCCACCAGGAAGCTGGAGTGGCCGGAAAATGCCGACTGTAGGGACTGGGGCAGCGTCAAGGTGGGGGTGGGCCGCAGGAGGCTAGGGTACCCGGCGGGGGGTGCGAGGAGCCCGGGGAACATCATGATAGGCGTGGGGCGGGCGAAATAACCCTTCTTTCAGTGGCCGGAGGGTAAACGCCTCGCTTCCCGCCCCTCCCGCCCCCGCAGTGTCCTCTCTCTTGGGCTTAGCAAACGTCTCCAAGTAACGATCCCACTTGGGCGTCTGCAAGTCCTCCGTGGTCCTCCCGTCGAGGTGATGGTTATATAGTGGCCCGCCTGCTAAAGCACTTTGAAAAGTGACAGCTCTGACAATGAAGTTCAACAAAGTTCTCCACTTGAGCTTCATTCGCTGGAGGCTCTGGGCGTTCTGATTGGCGCAGGGGTGCAATTTATGATTGGATTAGTCTTCATAAGCATGGCCCGCACAATGGGCGGACAACAAAGGCCCGCACGCATCAATTCTGCATATCGACCGCCTCTTTGCAATACTGTGCGCCCCCAGAGCTCTCGCCGAAGGTTTTTGTTCCGAAGCAACACCCGGGCTAATTAAATGCCTATTTAGAAGTTTCAGATGACATCTTGCCTCATAGAAAAGGAATTATTTAAAGAACGCACTAAATTTATTTGCAGCTCCCCTGCTAAGCCTGGAAAATAAATCAATAAATATTCATAGAAATACATCTTCAGGCTATCAGCAAAGTAACCTTCGTTCTTGTGGGGGTGGGGAAATGAAAAGTTTCAAGTCAGTGAACATGAAAATATACTCCCTCTCCGGTCTCTAGCCCTACCGGTTACTCCAACTGAAGAGTTAAGCAGATGTAGGCGTGGAAGTCCCATTCTTACGACTCGCGGAGACTTGGAAATGAATGCTTTGGGGCCACTGGATGTGTGTCTGTAAGAGTGGGAAGAGGTCTGGAGTTACTTCATTTCGGGAGACTGGTTGAGTTTGAGAGTTGGTGGATACCTGAACAGTAAAACGAGTCTCCTTCAAACTCTCAGCAACTTGGAAAAATTTTCTCTAGGGGTTTCTGCAAGGGGCTCTCCACACCTCACCTTGCGGGAGGAGCGGAGAAGAGCAGCGCTGGGCTGCAGAACGGCAGGATTCCGCTTGCAAAGGGCTTAGGCTGGCCGGAAGCTGCCTCGGGCAAGGGTGTCCAACGGCTATGAGTGCTATGCTGGCCCTTCTCCAACCACAGGGAGCTCTCGGCAGTTTAAGTTGAAATTCACAGCCCTGACATTTTAAGCCAGAGCAGCAAAGGCCCAGACGTTGTCCAGAGAGAGCCCTACCGATTGTGGGGCGCTTAACTTGGCAGCTTCTTAATTAACTACAACCCACAAATGCGTGAAAACCGGAGGGAAGAATGCGGGTCTCAAGAATGTTGATCCACCCCCAAGAAAGCCTTCTCTGAATGTGAGGCTTCAAAGGAGAATCTTCCTGGAGACAGTCTCTTCGCTTTCCTCACGTTGGAGCTGAGGTGGCACTGACTCGATTCTCCCTGTTTCTCTGTTCGGCGAGATAACAGATGTGTTAAATGTCCCATTCATCTCTTTAGTGTGGCTGAACCTCCCCAAAGAGAAGTGTGCAGCCCCGCCAGGCCGCCCTGATCCTATTAACCATGAACTAACTGTCACCTTCAGCTGGTTTTCCTTTTTGCTTTTTAACACAAAGCTTTCTCAAAAATCTTATTAACCAGCTTTATTTCTCTCGATGGTTTTGTTCGGGGCGTTTTGTGTTGATGATCTCCATGTCGCTGCTTTAACCATTCAATAAAAGTGCATCTGCGATTTATATCACATTAAACCAGAAACGGAGCCCGCTAAAACTCTCCCTTGATTCAAATTAAAAAGTTATTTAGGGCTCGGCTCCAGAGGCGAATTAATGCTAGAAGATGACGTAAGTGCAGAGTTTCTGAGCCCAAGACTGCTCTTGGTTATGAGCAGCGAGAGAAAACCAATCAGGAAAGAGACAACTTTTAAATAAGGGGCTATTTAAATATGGGAACTGCCTTGCCGGGGTTAATTGGAGGCCTCTGGACAGAAGAGGGAGATCTGTGAAGAACGTCAAAAGTTCCTCTTTTTGAAGTTTGCGATAAAATAGGTGAAAAAAGTATAAGCTATCTGAACACCTGCACTTTAACCTTGTCACGAAACAGCTTCCCACTGTCCCATCCTCTCCCTTCCTTTCTTCCTCAGGCCCACCTCCCTCCTTCTCCCACTCCCTTTTCTTCTGCCCCCCCACCCCTTTTTTCTCCCCACTTCTGAAGGACTTGGGCAATTGCCAGTTCCCAGAAGGATGCTCCGGAGGCTTCAGGGTGTTTGATTCCCTACTGGTGAAGCGCTTGTCCAAATCTTCTGTATAATCAGAACAGAGTCTCTATTTGCAAAAAAAAAAATAATAATAAAACAAAACAAAACAAAAAAAAAACAAAAAAAAACTTGAATTTCTCTCTCTCTCTCTTTTTTTTTTTTTTTTTTTTTTGAGTGGGGAATGGTAAGAAGTTAAAGCCAGGGTGAGCCCTTCCCAGCGCCTCCTTCCCTGTTGGGGCATTTGCGCGGGTGTAGGGTGTAGTTTTCACCGTTTCCTGCCCATTGATAGGTTTCCTGCCACTCCCTAACCCCCTCCCCAGGCCCTTGCCATTCTGCCTCACTATAGACCAACTGCTACTAACTTCTCGGCTTTTAAGTCTGCCCTTCCATTTTTTGGAGGGTGGGTCAACCCCTTGCTGCGATCCACGTGGACCCCGCTTCCTGGGGTTGTTCTCCACGGCCTCTAAAGAATTCCTAAAGCGCCAAAGAGGAAAAGTGAGGGCGGGGGCGAGGGGGCGAGGGCTGGCCGCCCGTGAAAAGGCAAAATAAATCCTAAGGAAGCAAGAAATCTGACGAAAGGATCTTACTTTAAGTGATCTCCTTGAACGCGTCTTTTCAAACTCCTCGATAGCCTAAGGGGCTGCGCGGCGCCTCGGCTGCGACTAAGACCTGTGACTAATGCCATTTGACCTGAGCCCATGGGGTTTTGTGCGTCCTGCCATTCATTGTTACGTCGTTATCTTCAAGTTTATTTCGGAGAAATCACTTGCGTTCTTTGTCTCAAGGCTGAGCTTTCTATTTCTTTTTCAAGGGAAAAGAAGATGAGAGGGGAAAACAGAATCCGAGGCCGGGGTTTGGGGTTTAAGGTCCTTGCCTACGCCACAGGCGCAACTGCTCGCTGGGGGAGGCAGCAGCAGATCCGGCTGGGGCTCCCGGGGCCTAGGTAGCCAGAGCTGCTGAAACCTCCCATGGATAGTAGAAAGAGCCTGTCGGAACGCACTTTCGGGGTTTCTTTTCCCCAAAGCAGGGGAGAGCGGGAGCGTCCCTGACCCAGGCGCCGAAGGGGCAGCCGCAGCAGTAGAGCGCACGGCCCTCTCCGGTGCGAGCGGTGCCTGGAACGTCTCGAGTGAGAGAAGGTCAGCCAGAGAGGTGAAACGGACACTGCAAAGTAGAGAGTGGCCTGAGCTTCCCGGGCCTCTGAAAAGATGGCGAGTGTCCGTTTTGGAAAGGCTGCGACTCCAAGGTCACCCTTTGCAGGCTTCAGACCCCCGGGCTTCCACGCTGCCTACCGGAGCTGCCAAGAGAGTGAGAGCGTGTTTTTGAAAGATTGGCTGGATGCCGGGAGGAGACAGGGAAAAGGGCCCGCCCGACGCTTGGTTTCTCCAGGCGGGGGGGAAAAAAGAGGGAGCTAACCCGCGAGGCGAAGGAGGAGGGCTGCGACGCTGGGGCTGAAAGAGCTTTCCTGCCGCCCCAGCCCCTCTTCGCAAGCCTCTCTATTAAGACAGCTCTAAGGGGTTCAGCTTCAGAATAGGCCACTAGGAGCTACCGCTGCCCCAGCTCTTTCTAGTGTCTCCCCCCTCACCCCCATCCCTTTCACACTCACTCCCCTCTTTTTCCTTGAAAATCCTTCTATTGTGCCAATCAAGCAGATGGTTTGCAGGAAATATAGCTTGGCCTTGCTGACCGAAACTAATTTTAACTAGCTTTCCAAGCCCGAAACGTTTGTTTTGCTCTTACAAAATAGCCCCAAAAACAGCTGGCAAGGGTGAATTAAACCCATTAAAGACACATTTATAAGAAATTATATTCACATAGGTTGCCCGAACCCCCTTGTGCAGTCTAAGAGAGGAGATGAGCACATTTAAATGAAAATGTCGCAGGACGCTCCCCTCCTTAACGTAGCCTGAAAGTCTCAAAACATTTTACTAAATAGATTAACTTGACTATTGTCTTGCATCACATTTATCAGCTTCATTAAGTGAATAGCTGAACAAATATATTACGCATGCATGAAAAGCTCTTTTTCCAGGAGTCGCATTGTATCCTCAGCCCTGACAGGTGGTTAACTGTGTGTTGTGTTTTTTTTTTTGTGGGTTTTTTTGGTGTTTTCTTTTTCTTTCTTTTTTATTATTATTATTATTATTATTTAACCCGAAGAAAGAGGATCTCTAGAGTGGCACAGGGCTGGCAGTGCGGACTTGGAGAAAGTTTACTTTAACTCCCTTCTTGAATCCGCCCCCACTAGCCCTAGCAATATTAAAACCATGTTGGGCCAAGGAGGTATGAGCCCACTCAAAATAATCAAACTTAAATTTTGGTAAGCCCAGCCTTGAGTGCTTTCTCTCTCCATCATTACCTCCGCCCCCTTGTCTGCGAAATCAATTTCATACCTCTCCTTTTTAAAGCTGAAGATTCCATCCCAGTCTCCTTGAAAATAAATTGCCATTGTTTCTCCTTGCTTAACCAGCTCTTCACAGACTGCAGGATTAAATATTCTTCTTTTTTTAAAAAAAGTAATAATAATAAAGAAAGAGTCTGATTTTGTTGTCCAGGCTGGTCTCCAACTCCTGGCCTCAGGTGATCCTCCAGAATCTAAATATATTCTTTTAACTCTCAATTGAATCCATTTCACTTTACTGTATGTCTTTAGGGAAAGTCCTTGTCTCCTGGGCCTCAGTGTCCCTATGAGTGAAACGAGGGGTTGCCCTAGACAGCTCTCTAGGGGCCCTTTCAGATCTGATCTCCTGAGGTTTAAAAACCCTCAGCTCTTTTTTACCTTATGAAGGGACCCAGCAACTCCCAGCCTCTGAGCCCAGGGTGATGACAGGAAGGACAGCACCTCCAGGTCCCAGGGTGCTCTCTTGGTGGAGGGGAAGGAAGTGGGGTACTCTAGAAGCCTGAGGCAAATCTGCCAGCCGGGGAGGACTGC